ATTGTATGTTGCAAGTAGTCATTTGTGTTAACATTTAGATATCACAGTATTTAGAAAGGTATTTGCAATTGCTTCTTTACGTATAAATAATGAGATTGCAACTGTAGTAGGAAACGTGAAATTATAGTAAAAAGGGCTTTAGCAGTTACATAAGTTTACGTAGGGAGCGACAATTTTAATTAATACATTAAGAACATAATTATGAAAATCAATTTGTTTTTTATGGCTTAAAATCTGAGAATTATCTTATTGGATTAAATGAACAACCTAATTTCTCTCTTTTTTTAAACTTTTTCTTGTATAAAATATAAAAACCTGTAGGATAAGGAAGTTATATGTTTTCTTTTTAATTGATTTCGAATTTCACATTTTGACGTTGGTTTTAATTAGTTTTAGAGTCAGGGGAAAAAAGAGGAACAACGATGTATGATGTGTTTTTTGGAAAAGGGTGTAAATATTAAAAGTAGCGATAAATAACGAGTTTATTTTTATTTGATCAAGCCACAACCCTACATACCTTACTACGTATAACATATAGAACACAGACTGAATACTTACAAAAAGATTAATTAAAGTAATCATTGTTCGCAAAAAACCATTATTTATTGTCGAATGCATTGTTTTAAACACAGCTTAAAAAGCCGGAGGTGATCGCTCATAACAATAATAAATATGATATTCACATTAACTAATGTTGCCAGCCTCTCATAATTTCGAATACTTATATTGTGCTTTCAAAAATATTTATCACTATACAAATTACGGTTTGTTCCATTGTTGCCGGCCGGCTTAAGGTGTGGGGTCCAAGTTATAAAATACAAATACTTATAATTTCCAAAAATATTTAGTTCGCAATTGTTAAAAAAAAATCAAAACAACTTAATGTAATGTAGAATAGTGTGAGATACCCTCATATATACCACACTTAACAATGCATTTTGGACTTATTTAACAACGAATATTATGTGCATTTAAATATTATCAAATAGGGAACTTCCAAATCTACTAAATTACTTAATGTTGTTTTTTTCAAGCAATATTACGAAATAAGCATTATTACTGCGAAATTTATACTTCAAACATTGATTTAGTTTCATTGAAAACCATAAGCTAAATAAAAGCATCTTGATTATTTATCACCGTTTCCGCTTTTCACTTAGACCAACACTTAATACATGCTCGACACAGCCATAACTGAGATGGATTGAGGCACATTACGCGTTCACGTCTTAATCTGAGGCGATGGCGATTAACACAGCGATTAATTAGTACAACGCCAGCGGCACAATAGCCCCAGCATTTGTCTTAATATTCCAAAACCCCGAGAAAGGGTATTAAGATCTTTTGTTAGGGAACAGACGGCTGATGGCTTTATCTTTAATTATACGCCATTGATTTGCGGAATGTAATTGTGTAATTACTCATTGAATTTGTATTGCGAAGTTTGGATGGAGTCGGTAACTCGGTTGCAAAATTACTAACTTTCCAACTATGATATTGGTCTGAGTTTTATATACTATTATAATAAACCGTAAACACACACTTCTTTGTTGCCTAAGATTTTAGCAATTACGGCATATTTTTGAATTATCTCTCTTTAATGAAAAGCCCTACACTAACGTCAGTTTTAGGCTATATATTTACACGCCATTAAACTTAGGGGTAAATATTTTGGATAGAAACCTTAATGTGGGAAAGAGACCATAAGTTGCTGCCAACATCAAGGAAGCAAGATGTCAAAGGTTTGTAATGTCATGTCATTTTGACATTTGCTATTGATAATTTGACAAATGTAAACAATAAAATATTTTTTTTATAATTTCATGCGGATGAAGCCGCACGGGAACAGCTAGTACTTCAATATAGTTGAAATAAGATATTTATAGGTACTTACGTGTTCCAAAAAGCAGTGCCCAAATTCACTGTCGATGTGAAGTTGATTGAAAACAAACGAAATCTGACTAATATTATAAATGCGAAAGTTTAGATGGATGGATGGATGATTGTCAGAGTTTGTAGCCTAAACTGCTGAACGGATTTTGATGAAATTTGTCATAGATGTAGAGGATAGTTTGGAAGAACACATAGGCTACTTGCTTTTGTTTTTTTTAATTACACGCGGACGGAGTAGCGGGCGAAAGCTAGTATATTATAGTTACAAATGTACCTTGTCTTAGGGCAGAAAGTAAGGGGGATGCGTAAATGCATTTTCCCAGCGAGAAAAAAAAGGCAGAAAGTAATGATTCAATTTGAGCAAAAGCCGATCAATTCGGGATCACCACTAAAGACTTTTTTTGTTTACATACATCGTATCTTACCGTCTCGAACAGAGTTATGTACATATTGTGATTACTGACACAATCTGCGGAGTGGAGTTGCGCCACATTTTAACTTTCATAATTTTTCTTGAAATAAAAATATAAGATAACGTAACGAACGAAATAAAGTGCCCCATAGTAACTGCCTTGCATCCGCAACAACAATTATTATCATCAACAAAAGCTATTAATTACAGAGATAAGCACTCTTCTGTGATACAGAGAGCACGTAAATACAAATATTGACATAGTTCGCGCTTGACACCGCCTTAACCCGTACAATTATCGTCTCTATTATTAAATATTATCTATATCTAATTTTATTGTGAGCTGCGACCAAATTATAATGACCTCTGATAAGGTTAAAACGACGTCCTCGTAATCATTTGTCGATTGGATCAAACCTTTTGTTTAGTTAAACGTGTCAAGAGCTCTTACAAAATGAGTACCAATTCAGATTTAATATTAAAAACCCATATATATAATAGAATTGGAGTGTCTTTTTGTAATACCAAAAGAAATTCGTTAAGATGATGTATTTGCGTTGCTGATCACGAAAATCACATTTTTTTGTCTGTATGTCTGTCTGTCCGCAAGCCGCGTATGTTTCGGTTAATGTCCGAAACGGCTGGACCGATTCAGACTTTCATTGAAGGGTAGCTGACTTACACGGGCATAATATGGGCTACTTATTTATCCTAATAATGCGTGGACGAAGTCGCGGGCAATAGCTAGGTATGTAATAAATACAATATAATAATTACTTAATTTAAATAATTGTTATTTTTTTCTTATTCGAATACTTGTAACATTTTATAATAAAACGGAGCTAATTTGTGTGGATTACGCCTAGAGATCTAAGTATATTGGACATTAACTGCAATGTATTTATTACGATAAAGCTTAGACTAAATAAGTGTCTTGCGAGATTATCTTCCGTTTGCGTAAATTGTTTATTGTATTAATTCAAACGTATTTTTAAATTTGTCATTGTTTAAGTAGTGTTAAAGTACTGATGTCACAAATTATTTAATTCTCGACGCGGAACAATTTGAAAACCAGAACAAAGTTTAGTGTACTGCTAAAGTTGCAGTAAAGCATGTATGCGTTACTTATACGGTACATAATTTAATTGGTCATTATATTACTCATTAAAAACAATGTTAAGAGTCGGACCACCGCAGGCCAACTATAAAAGCGTTAAGCGCCGCTTTAACTAGGTTTTTATAGATATTTGACTTTAAGGGGCTTGTCCGCTGGCGTTTTGTGACGGAAGTCGTAAAACATCTTGGTGGTGTGTGTCGACTTTGGTTTATTTTGAATATCAGCCCCCCATTAGCGGGTTAACGATGTGTTTGTGTACGTTGTTGCAAAATTATTTAAACTTGCACAAGAATCTATGCCAATAATGTATGCTCTACAGTTACAAAGTAACGTCCAATAACAGAATGTATTAGGGAAGTTTGCAATTTCCGTAACTGTTATATGATGGTAATCGTTGTGAGCTCAAACAATTCCCTGCCGAGGGGCTGCCTACCCAAGTTAGGGGTGACAATCGCGCTGACCCCGTTAGTTGACTTCGCACATATCTTTGAGTTTCATTTCAGACATGTTCAGGTTGCATTACGGTGTCTTCCGTCACCGTAAAAAAGTCGAATAATTGTATAAAATCGACAAAATGGGAGCATATTCGGATGATTAGGATTATTTCATTTTTAAAGCATGACGTCATCGCGTGATGACCAGTATGTTTATTATAGTTTTGATGAAGAAAAAAAAATATACTAATGTATTATTAAATTAACCTAAATCAAGATATTATTTGCTATTACTGTTCAATTTAAATCGTTGAAAAAAACGTATTTTTAAATTAAAACAATAAATCTTTATCAAATTAAAAAATACAATCCGTTAGATAAGAAAGTCTGCAGTATACGATAATAATGAAAATGTTCTTAATAATATTGACATTTAAATATAATTAGATTCATAATAAACTTTATCAAATGAATAATAGTTCCCGTACTGGCTGATAAGTCTTACGAAACAAAACATTCGATTAATGAACTGACAGAGGAAATTGCCAATAATGAAGGTGACTGGAGATCAAGCCTATTTAATACCGCTGATAATTACTAATCATACGCAATGTTGTTAACTTACATAGTAACACTGGCGTCATTATAATCCAAACAAAATAAAAACAAAGGACGATCTTATTTTTCAATAGAATTTCTATTTTTTTTTTCAAAACAAGATCGTGAAATAGGTTCATATCCTCCTTACCCTACTCCCGTAGGGTCGGCGCAACTTACTTTTACATTCGGCACTATTTTTTGCGGCAGCCCGCCTGCCTGTCGCCAACCCTACTTGGGATTTTAAGATCTTGAAATGGGTTATCTGTCAATTTATTACAATATAGAAACGCTAAAGATTATAACCTAACGAGCTTTCCCCACGAATCCGTTCGAGTGGAATTAAAAAAAAATGTAGCCTATGTGTTCTTCCAGACTATCCCCCACATATAGACCAAATTTCATCGAAATCCGTTCAGTCGTTTAGGCTACTAACTCTAACAAACATCCATTCATTCATGCATCTAAACTTTCGGAATAATAATATTATAGTAATAGCATGAAAGTATTAGGTATAATAAATAGATGTATGTATGAATTCACTTACTTGTTTTGTTTGACCGGTGTAGTAGACGGCGTGGGCCGCTTCTCTTCTTTAATCGTGCTATTATTCATTTTAGACGTTAATCTCTTCAGAACATCATCCATCGACCGCTTATGAGGCGGGGCGAGTAGTAACGCACTATTATGATTCAGTAATGAATTGTTATTATTGCATAGTCCTAAAACTTTCGCTTCGGCACCAGGACTACTGCATTCAGAGGAGCCGCGTCTTCTCGCTTGCAGATCATTGACTTGGTGCAGGCTAAGGAAAGACGATGGGACTAGAAGATTGTTTGTCATGTCTAATGATTGTTCGAATCGTTGTTTCTTGGTGGGTCGCTCGTCTTCGAAGTTCGAAGGATCTTCCTCACTGATTGAGCTTCTTGTTGAGGAGCTTGGTGAGAATTTGTAGTAGTTCTGTTGCTCGTTGTCGTCTGACTCTTGGTGGTCGGAGAAGTCTAGATTAGCCGGGCCGGCTTCGGATTTTTCAGTCTCGGCGGAGCCGTCTTGCAATTTCGACGGTGGCGATTTTCGTTTAGATGACATGTTTCTGTGAACAAAAAAAGTATAAAAGCTTAATAACAATGAAGTAAGTACAAATTCGCAAAAGTTACTCAATTGTTTTCATTCTTATCGCCTTGAAAATAAAAATTAAAAAGTGTTAATTTAAAATATTATTAACAAACTAAGTTGTTGCTTCAATGATTGTAAATTTATATCAACAAACATAAACACAACGCTCAAACGTAACGACCAAGTCAGGTCGGACGTCGAACGTCGTATTTGTCACCAAACTCTCCGACTAGTTAGGAAACTCGCTTCGTTAAAGCACCTAATTGGGCTCTGCTAATTGTACTAATTGCAGTTTCTGCCTCCTTTGGACTTAAGGTGTCCGCTAGACTATGTGAACCGTCCAATCATGCGAGATCTCCGGATGCTGCACGAAATTCCTCTTTAATGTCTGTATTAGTATTGGCCGGAGGAGGGTGTGTGGGTCCAATTAAACTAGTAATCAGTCGAGGAGTTAACACGATTTGTTAATGTGTGCGTAACAACCGCGAAGACTTGTGATTGAAGACGGCCATGTGTTTATGTGTTTGTTTATTCGGATAGTGACGGTGGCATTTGTAAATTCATGAGGATCGCAGAGATCTGGATAGGAAGTGTTCATTGGTTGTGCCAACAAACGAATATCTTGTTCCGACAGTGTCTGGATTTTCTGCTTTGAAGCTTGTTTGCGTTCGACTCAGTTGTGCGCATTGAGTTAATTTTGTTTCGTATTTAGAGTTTAACGAATATCAGTTCTGTTTATATTTCAAAAATATTTTCATTTTTAATTTCTTAGTTTTAACAGCTTTTACTGGTTTTATTAATATTTAGACAATCTTCAGCGTAGGACCTAGGACTATTAGTTACTGCTTTGATTAAAGACATTTTTTAACACAGAATTACAATACAAATTTTATCTTCTGTTTAAAATGTTTTCTCGGAGATATTTAATTTAGTCCAAAAAAACAAGTACATAAACACCAAATCTTCCTCTATTGCACTGTAATTAAGACACTAAATAAAAAATCAACCATCATGAAAGAAGTCAGTTGTTATTAATGTTATATTGTTGTCAAAATAAGTCACTGTAACACTGAGAGGCCCATGTTACTACACTCTTCGAAAAAGGCGATCGATGTTACCGATGTACGAATATTAATAAAATGGATACGCCAATACATAAATTTACCATTGCTTTCGAATGATAAATCGCATGTAAAATATATCTTTTTATTATGGAAATAATAAACAGAAGTTAATAGTTTTTTATACACGCAATGTATTTAAACGTACTAGTACTTCATCGAAACAGAAAATCTTATTTCTTCTCATAATAATTGCCATATCTATAATACATTTAATCAAAGTTAATAATCAATAATTTAATTCTACCTATCTATATTTCATTCATGTCGGCAACCATAATTTTCAGTGTTCAAAACTACAAATATTATAAAAATAAATTAAAATCTTGCAGTTTTATATTTGTCTTTTAAAATGGTTTCTTCGTAACTCTTCGACGGTAAACTAATTTGTCCAGTTTGCTTTCAACAGACAACTGGCTCGTTATAGAATTCCTTGCATCGGCGATATTATTGCCGTTTCCAGATACCACACATTTCATATTAATAATATATTTTTTTATCTCTACACCCCGAGGACGACAACGGACGTAAGAAAAATCTCTATTAAAATTAAATAAGGATATAGGAGGTTAAATTGGAAGAGATTTTAATACAGAGTGTTTTAACTTTCTAATTCAAAAAAAATTTAAAACGAACGAATCTACAAGCAAATTAGTAACAATAACTAGATGGAAGTTATTTTATTCAACTTGTGTTATTATAAATTCGTTATTAACGTTATTAACTATTAATAAATCATATTTTCCAGTTGACACAGTCAACAATCCACCCCTCGATGCGTTTCGTTTAACAAAAACAATTTGCTTACAATTCTGTTACGCCATTGTCCCACTTGGCGTCCCCTGCGTCGCAAAATTGAAATCAGCTGTGCCCCATTGAACTATTTCTGAACTGAACGCGTCTTTAAATTCAATCAAATTTTGAATATTACTTCGAAGGTTAAAAAAGTCAAATTACATCAAACATAGACACTAGAATTTGCCTGCGATTACGACCAGCCGCAAAAAAAAAAAACGTTATTATTACCCTATATGTTTTTCATAGACTATCTACATGTAGTCGACCATAAAAACATTCACATTTCACTTAAATATTCCTTAGATAATCTTTTAAAGTAGTCTAAAGGAAATGGTTTACTATTGCAATATTATATGTTATAATTTTTTATTTATAAACACACTATATTATACTTTTTAAATTGTTAATTATGTGATTGTTAAGTATAAAATAATTTAAAAATCAATATCGCCAAGAAATCTTCGCTTCTAAACCAATTTTCTGAAAGTAATTGACTTGACAATTTTCCCGCCAACACGGCCATATTGTTCTCGTCACCGCGTGATGTTATTGTGACTGTAATGGAAAGGAAATTAATAGTTACAATTCACACTTCATTGATACACTCTAAACATCCTTTGAGCTAAAGCAATAAGGTGCAAAATCGTATAAACACGGGATCTAATAACATTGCAGGTTTGAAACAAACTATTGAGGGATAGAATGACGTGAATACAATCGCAAATCGTTTCTATAAATCAGTTTCAAAGTTATTATTGTCAAGTGCAAAATGGATATTCATTTACTGCGTTCCTTATTGAAGTTTGCGAGTACAGAGAAATCTTGTGAAGTGAATGATGAACATACGAACATATATTAAGTTACTAATTGAATTTGTGTTATTAATAACAGTTATAACCTATTATTATAAAAATGTATAACATTTAGTCAATAGCCTAGTTGTAAAGAAAATCGAACACATAGTCGTGAGTTCGAGTCGCCATTCGACTATTGCCGTGAATCATGTCCTAGCACAAGCGTTGAGCTTAATAAGAATAGTGTAAGACATGGAAGTAAGATAACAAAATCAATCCGCCCTAGCTTTGCATAGGTGGCAAATAATAAATGTTTGATATCTTTTCTGTCATATAAATGCTTCCCTTTGTTGTAAAATATAGCCTATAGTACTCATTAATAATGTACATTGCTAATGCTGAAAAAATGATATTGGTTCAGTAGTTCCGGAGCCTATTCAAACAAATCTATCTTTAACACATTTGATATTTTAATACACCTGATAATGAACTCTATTGTCATCAATCGAAAGACCTATTTAATGATTGATATTTCATCGTTTAATTTATACAAGATATTAACATGTGTATTCGTTTAGGAATCAATCAGAGACGGTCGTTCGGAAGGTCCAAGTAATCGTGACGAATCTCTAGTTTCCAATCTATTAGTTGAAGGAAATTGCCTACGACCCGTCTTAGATAATTCGAAAGCCTAAACGTTAGAAATGCTCCGTCTTCGTAAAACTAATTACGTTATTAAAGACCTTTGGATGTCTGACATTTAATCTATTTGGAATTCTGCAATTTCACAACATAGTTAAAAAATATCGAGTATAAAATATTATTTGTTTCAAGATTTTCAACGTTTGAAAGCGTAAAATAAGATGTTCCGATCAAATAAGCAAATAAAACACTCAATGTTCGTTCGCAGTACAATGAAAAATAAAAATTTAATAGAAATATTGTGAGGCGACAGTAATTCGATGAGGGACGCGAAAGCATTTCTTTTCCTTAAGAAAAAAACCTGGAAGAAACTCTCGAGTGCCAGTAACTGAATTATTCTATTGAATAATAAGTTTATTCACAATAAGCTGGAATAGAATTTCTTGGTCTTTTATAAATTGAATTTAATCGTTATATTCTTTAGTTTACTTTAAACTCTTGTTTTCATTTGAACTTATAAAATATTTTACACGAAGATCGAGCACTTCTTTCCGTTCTTACCTTTAGAGCAAAACGCATTAAATCTCAAAAGAATAATATATGAAATGACATGTCAGAACAGCATACCATTTGCACAATTGGCATCCATTGAACACGCCAAAGGGAGGTGGAATTATCGGCGGAAAATTACAAGAAAACTCCCTCACCTAATTTATTTATATATTGTGCAAGTTATAAGGTTACCAGTGAATACATTCATGGATTACTAGATGCGTCAACGAATTTCTATAAAAATAAAAATAAACAATTGTTTAATAATGCACTGTCATTTATTAAATTAAAGCCGTTTTTATAACATTTGTTTTTTTTTTATAAAAGATTAATTACAGGTCATAGTAAAGTTCAGAGATGTAGATGAAAATTGCAAACTAAAATTTTATTGTATTTAATTTTACAGAAATTGAAAAAAACGTTACCACATCTAGTAAATAAAAAAGTCAGCATTGTTCGTAGACTTTCTTGTGATTGACAATGGGGGAAATTACCCATCGGGTGCGCGACAAAGTGTACCAAGTGGATACCGGCTACGGAAATATGGATAAAAATTCTTCCATTTTCTTAAATAATACGCATTTTATGTTAAAAATAAAGAAGTACAAGGTATATGATTGCAAGTCATTATAAAACAGACACGATTAGTAAGGCTTAACTGTTTGATATTGATTTTTCTAGAAACGAACTTAAAAACGTCTTTACTATTTATTTGCTTTGAATATTAACTAATCATTGTAATAAATAGTAATCATAAATGCATCCTTTTCAAATAAAATTTCATTAAATTCATAGTTAAGCAATAACTTTTTATTTTATAGAGCCGTCTCCATACCTAGTTAGCCGACCTCCGTCGTCCCTCGGAGGGTAATGACGACATTATGATTATTTCGTCGCAAACAATACAGTTAATATAGCGTGGACAATGCGCCAATCACCCGTAAGCACCATTGTTATACACCGCCGGCGCATTAATATCTTTTGTGCAATTTTTCAGGTAATGACAGCTTAGCGCTTAAACTTTGACTTCTGAAACTCAAGTAAAATTGAACCCTTAGTTTGAATTGGGC